GTGACAGCAAATCAAACCCACCAGCCTCACTGGGAACCAGAAAAGGTCTAAGTGCAGAATTCTCTGAAACTCCAAAATGCTGTTATGCCCTGGAGACCATCTGGCCAGTCATGCATTTTTACATGCTTCCAACGCCCTCCTTAACTCCAAATCTCTTCTACACAGTCTTTAACACAACACGTCCCGCATTTAATGTAAAGACATGGTCGTTGGCGATCACAGTTGTGGACAGGCAAAGGCTTAGTTTCCCTCTACTCCTCAAGAATAATTTTCTATGCCTTAGTGTCTGAAATGAAGACTCCAGGAAGATAGCTCTGTGCATCAGTCACATGCTCCTAGGGAGCAGAGCCTAAAATGTACAGCATACAAAAAAATGAATATTGACAAAAGACTGTGTGCTAAATTCTGATTAAAGACATTAACTTTTGCAAAAAGCATGTTGTTTTTCTTTTAAGTTAATTTCGTTTTTAACTAATGTACAAGTGAATCAGAAAAAAAAAACAGAATTATATTGCATACGCCATGATTCCTTACTGTTTTGAACTATTTTGATAAACTGGACGTACCCTTAATATAAGGGCTCTTGAGAAATATATGACGTGGCTATATCTCCTTTTATTTTCTCATGTGCTATGCATGTGTGCAAATGCATGTTCACATGTGTAGGCACCCATGGGTGAAGGAAGATATGCATACATGAATGTGCACATGTGTGTGGAGAACTCATACAGATATTGGGAATATTCTTCTATCAATTTTCTCCTTTATTATTTAAGGCAGTGTATCTCAGTCAAATCTTGACATAGCAGAATTTCAGGTACTTGGCTAACGGTGTGCTCGCCCGATATAAGCATGGGTTCTAGAGCTCCAAATCCAGTCCTCTTGCTTACATAGCAAGTAATTTAACCACTGAGCCATCTCCCAGCCCATCTTATCTATCTTCTTAAATGACGAGTCTAATATCCATCAAGTTTTTCTTTTGTTCATGACTTCCTGGCCGATACACATTGCATAGAAAGCACCAACACTTAGCAAACTCATCACACCTTGAATAAAATGTTTGAAATCTTAAACCAAGTCTGTTTACAGAATTTGTACATTCAACAATTTTTAGGTCAAAAAAGTCCACTATAATCGAGACCTAAACAGCTGACTGAGAAACGCAAGGTCCCGCCCACTGGCTGAGATTTGTGGAGGATCCAAATGATGTCATTGGCTCGATAGCGAATTCCATGCCTGGCTCCTTGATGCGTGAAAATAAGACTGGAAAAGCAGCAACTACGTGGTGTCAATTCCCATTTCATTCCTGTATAACCATCCCTACACTAAAAACTGGGTATTAATGTAGATGAAAGCAGGAATATCATCTGACTGGTAATAGTTTTGAGTTATGGCACCTGGCAGGGCAGACGCTAATGTGGGTTTTCATTTGTCTGGATCACCTAAAGTATGTAGCATCTGTGAAACTGGGGAAACCGGACCCATGCTTTCCTACCCTGATACTGTTACCCTTTCTTGTAAACCCCAGCCCTTCCCATTTCCAGAAACATGGGGTCATTTGCCAAACTATCACATTTCCACTACAGATATGAAGTTGCCTAACTATATTATGGAGGAAGCTATTAAATATTCATTTTCCTTAGTATATTTTATGAGACTTGAGAGGCCTGTACAAACACATCTAAAATGGTAGCGAGCCATTTTTAGAAAACAAAAGAACATAAAACTTTGTAGAGGCAAGCAGTAAACTATTTCTATCTAAGGTGTATAATAAGTGTATTTGGTACATAACCTTCAGAAACTTGGAGTACACTAGATAATTGTGCCTGCTCGTGAGGTTATCTGCACAGGTCACTTGAGCAATTCTTGGTCCTCCTGCTTGTTAGTCCACTTTTCAATGTCACCATCGTTTATGCTGAAAGTGTTATCTCGGGAGTAATCTGTTCACATTAATTGAGAAAAACTAAACACCCCCCACTATCCTAAGGCCCCCTGAAAAGCAAGGCGGTGATGCACCCAGTGAGTTTAGCTGCATATAATGTACTGGTCAGATAGTAAATCCTTTAGCACGTGGTTAAGTGCACAGACCTGTACTTGCTGCACGGCTAAGGCTAAGTCTAGGCGGCTAAGATAACTCTTATGAAAACCAAGTACTCCCTGTCAAAGTTATTCAAACAAGCGGGAAAGAGATAACAGGATTGAAAACCTCATTTGCATCATAACAATAATAGCAAAACTAACGCATTATGATGATTCTTCTTCACAAACGATAAAGGAAATGGTGTTTGGGATGACAATGCTGTCTTCAAAGCGCACGTAATGAAAATATTTTAATTTGAGAAATTGTCTAGAGCAATGATAATTGTGAGGAGCTTTTTTTTTCTTATAAAGGGAAGCCATATACAACAAATGCTTTATTCCAAACAAAGACTAATACTTCAAATATATATGTACATATATTTAAAAGTATTTAATTAAAAATGAATAACCTTAATATTAAAACAATTTTTTAATCTTGCTAGAATGAAGTCTTTTATTCATTAGGTAGATTATCAAGGTAAGAAAATGACTGAATTAGTAAAATGTGGTCTAGACCTGAGCTAACACGGTCCTCACTCCACTGTGTCCAATACGATTGCTCACTGTTCACGGCCCGGGCACGCATCTCCAGCACTTTTTTTTTAAGTTAGCAATACATTAAAAAAAGAAATGTTTCTTCTATTTTCATTTTTCAACTCAGTACATTATTAACCACTGCAGCAAGGGGAGAAAAATGAAATCAAAAGAAGACAAAAAACACAATACTAGTTATCTGCCCTGCAAACCTAATATTTCCATCTTAAAGCTGGCAGCACTAAGGGAAAACAAATGGCCTCGCCTTGCCATAGCTTCCCGAAGAGCCTTGGCTTTCATATGCTGTATCTTCTTTCAGGCCTTTTCCTCTCTTTTGCCTCCAGTACAACACACACACACACACACACACACACACACACACACCTCCCACAGACTGCAGCAGAAACTGCCACAGTTGTCTCCTTTTTATAAGCCATGCAGACGTCTGCCAGTGCCTGAGAGGAAAGATGATGGAGAGCAGGTTTATCTACTTTCCATCCAAAATACGTGAGCCATTAAGAACATTATAAAAAGCAACAACAATATACCCTGCTTTGATTCAGAACCTTCCCCTTAGTGATTATTAAAAGGATGATATTTTTAGCTAAAGAAAGCAATATGCATCTGCAGCAGCTGGTTTCCAAGGAAACAGAATAATTTAAAACCATGTGGAACTCTGCTCTCTAATTTTCATCAATCCCCTTTCATTCCTAGAGGTAGCTTTGTTCAGAATTTATAATTCCTTTTCTTTAAATGTAGCTGCATCAATTTATTGTCTGCAACATATTCCAGTAACTGAATATTTATTTAGTCTTGCATATCACCTAAGTCCCATGAGGGTGGGAAGCTTGAATTAATAGCAATGACCATTTTGTTTGAAAATCAGAAATTACTTTAAAAAAAAAAACATTAGCAATTAAACACACAGAAAAAATTTCAGCATTATGTCATCATTTTTTAAATTCAGAAATGGTTCAAAACAAATGGCAGAAGAAATCAACATAACACCTGAGCATAAGAAGACATTAAGTATATTTCGTATGCTTAGAAAGTTCGAAGTAGGTTTTCAGTGACTAGAATAATCTTTACTCAATATCCAGCATATTTCTTTCCCATTGACTTTCTTAAGAATTGCCGCGTTGGTACCACCTATTAAAAGGTTTGCAGCACCCACCTTCCAAATCAAATCAAATGCAAGACCAATTTTCTTAGAAATTAAAGTCATTGTTGGTAGTTATTAATTCATTCAAATGCATCAAAAATAATATGAATGAATTATTTACGGCACTATTATGCTTGTGTTTTATTCCAGTCAACAGGTATTAATTGAATGCCAATGAGTTCAAGACTGTGCTGTTTTCTTAAGAGCTCAAAAGGAATGAGATCCTCTCAGTCCTAAATGATCTTAAAATTAAAATCAACAGAGGACCTAGTGTGGAATAAAATTACTTTTCTGTCTCTATTACTATAAATATATCATTTATTCCACACCGTTAGAAATCTTTCCTGGTTTTCCTGAAGGAAAATGAAACATAACATTATGCATTCTAAGCAACCAGTAAAGTCAAAACTTGGGGAATATTTTGAAGAAAAAAAAAACCTGTCGTGAGGCTATTGCTATCAATATGCGTTGGAATTTCTTCACCTTGACGTATCTGATTCACAAATGAAACTTCTCTGTCAGACATGACTTTTCTCAGCAGTCTCACCCTTCCCAGCTAGACGTGTGTGTTTTTAAAGTGAGAACAGTCCCGCGCATGTTGACAGCTATCTATTGAAGGTTACTTCATCGCCACACCACACGTAAGCTTCCAATCTGCTGACTAAAACGCTGCAGCTACTCAGGGCGTGAGACGCAGGGAGAGAAGAGGGCTTGCATGCACACAGACCATTCCTTCCGAGTCCACACTAAAAGAAACTGCAAACTGAACAACAGTTCTCAAAAGATCCTTACTCGGTGGTAAATATAAAGACCCCACATGAAATCCTGTAGGTCCAGAGAAGGCTCCATTTTCTTAGGACCTGTGGAATCTATCAAGCTTTCCCTATGCCTCCTTTGGCTTCCACGAGTACAAGCCTTGATAAAAACACACAAAGACACACGAGTTCATCCATCGGTTTTGCTCAGTAGCGTTGGCTTAAATGGATATCCAGAAGAAGACATGCCCCTGGTGTGTTTGTGCGTTTTCGTGTTTAAATCGGGGAAGCGTTTTTGCAGCCACGGCGAACCAAGGCTGCCCCGAATCGAGCGAGGGACCGCTTTCGCCAAGCGCCATCGGAATTCCCACCCCCAAAGGATGCTTCCACTAGAACTAAGCATTTCCTTCTTCCAAAAAAGAAAAGAAATTATCTTTCCTTCTGCTTAGTATTATTATTTTTGCTCTTACCTGTAAATATGGTCTCCGTACTTGGGCTCCGGCAGAACACACTGAGGAGAGTTCACTCCGCCCTCGACCATCCATCAGGCCGCAGCCAACCAATAACAAAAGCCAGATCCTGGCGTCCTCCAGCTCCCGCTGCCTGCCTGCTCCCAGCCCTTGCTCCCTCCCACCCTGAGCTTTTAGAGGACAAATCCCTGCTGCAGAGGGAGGAAGGAAAAAAGAAATATGGAGAGACAAACAGAAAAGAAAGATTTCAAAGAACAGCCAGCTGGAGTCAAAAGTCTTGTTTTGGATGTAGGAAAACGGGGTTAATCTATGCCTCGCCCACCACAAATCAAAGCAAGCACTTGAGGAAAGCCTGGATAAATTGCCTGTTTTCCCTCACCCCATTGATTTTTTTTTCCTTCAGTGGAAAAAATATACACTTCTTCATTGTACATGTTGAAATACTGGCAAAGGAGGGAGACGGACCATCAATATTGCCTTTTCAAAGAGATCCAATCAAAATATATCAAACCATGACATCTCTTACGGTCGACATGACAACCTCTGCTTGGCAGTGTTTCTATTCACAGTCTGAGGGCCAGATGAGCAGAATATACATTTTAACTCAAAATAGAATATTCAAATATTTTAGAGTTGTGTGGTTTGCACGGCTTCGAATTCCTTAGATACCAGCATCAATTTGTGAATAACTGAGCTTGTTAAAGATTAAAGAGGCGTCAGCCACTTGGTTGCTAAGTCTCAAAGTGACTAATTGGACTCTAATTTTGCTCTAATAACCTTGGGCAAAATCATTTCACTTCTGAACTAAAAAGCATAACACGAATAAAGGAACAATTGAGGAAAACATCAAATTAGATTTACTTAATACAGCAACGCAAAATCATATGCAGTTTTAAGGGGGGGAAATGCTTTAAATAAAGTCTCACCGGGGCTGGAGAGATGGCTCAGTGGTTAAGAGCATTGCCTGCTCTTCCAAAGGTCCTGAGTTCAATTCCCAGCAACCACATGGTGGCTCACAACCACCTGTAAAAAGGTCTGGTGCCCTCTTCTGACCTGCAAACATACACACAGACAGAATATTGTACACATAATAAATAAATATTAAAAAAAAAAGTCTCACCATGCAGCTGTGGCTAGTTTGGAACTCGTTAAGTAGACCAGGTTGGCCTCGAACCTAAAGAGACCTGCCTGCCTCTGCCTCCTGAGTGCTGGGCTAAAGACAAGAAAGCTAATTAAACGAGCAAAGACTTAAAAAAAAAAGCAGTCTATTTTACATTTAAAATGCTACTAATTGGACCAGGAAGATGGCTCAGTGGGCAAAGGACTTTGCCACCAAAAAGCCTGACAACCTATGTTCAATCCCTGGGTCCCACATAACGGAAAGAGAGAACCAGCTAGTGAAAGCTGTTCTCTGACCTCTGCTCCAGTGCCATGTCATGTGAGTAAACACACATACATACACATACACAATTTCTATAAATTTTAAAACTCACTGTTAATTGAGGTTGTCTGACAAGATATTCAAAGGAAGTTTCCTTGGGAAGACATGCACTAATGGTTGTTTGTTTAGAGATTTAATTTTATTTACAGGTGTGTGTGTGTGTGTGTGTGTGTGTGTGTGTGTTTGTGTGTGTGTCCATGGAGGCTCTAAGAGGAAACCCTAGAAGTTGGACTTACGTGTTGGTGTTGTGAGCTGCCTAAAATGGGTGCTCAGATCTGAACGCTAACCCTTAGAAGAGCAGCAAACTTTTATTTATTTGTTTGTTTGTTTTGGTTTGGTTTCTTTGAGACAGGGTTTCTCCGTTTAGTCTTGTGTGTCCTGGAACTTGCTTTGTAGAGCAGGCTGGCCTTGAACTCATAGAGATCTGCCCACCAAATGCTAGTATTAAAGGCGTGCACTACCACCACTAGGCTGAGCAGCAAACTTTTAACCACTGAGCCATCTTTCTATGCCTCAATCTAGTGGGTTTTCTCTCAGCCAGCAGCTGCTCTCTGTCGGGAGGTTTGTGCTGGCAGGTGATCCCATCTACAATGGTTGGAACTTTAGGAATTTCCTTTGGATGGTCTGTTCCAGGGTGGTGCCTGGGTAGTCTCAGTTTGTGGTCTTTTATCAGAACCAGGTAGTGCCTCAGGGAAAACTACTGAGACTCAGGCCTCTTTTTTGTTTGTAATGGCTGGGTCCTATAATCTGAAGTAGGTTTGTTGTGAGGTTTTTCTTAGAGCAACTCAGAGAAGTGGTCAGGCTTTCAAAGCTCTGTGAGGGGTGGCAGTAGGGGGCTGGAATTCAGAAAACGAAAAGTGCGGTGTCTCATTAAAAGTACAATTATTCCACTTATCTCTTTAGCTTGGTTTAAGCAGAACCTACCTTTGGGGCTGGGTGTGCGTAGAGGTGGGGACCCTCCTTTAGCCAAAACCTGTCCAGTTGGAATGTTAATATTCCACCTGTGTCCAGCCCAGAAATTCTAGTCCCCTGATCACAAATTGTAATGTTAACAATGAAAAGTGTTAAACTATCATTTATTTTTACACCCTACGTTCTCTATCGAGGAAAATACTTCACAAACACTGTGGTCTAGTTACCAGGTGAAGTTAGAGAAATCCTTGGATAGACAGCATTTCCTAAAGTGGTGACTACTGGGGACACCTGCATCACAGTCAGCAGGGGACCTGTTAAAGCAGGGAGCTCCAAAAGCCTCACCCACCCAGACTTAATCTGCATTTGAACAGGGCGCGACTCACCACCCTTCGAGAGCTCCCTTGATGATTTTGAGGTGGCCTTTTATCAACGGAAGTCACAGATTAGTGCTCCCCAGATGCTAACCGTCAGACGGTGGTTCCTTTACTGTTGACCTCACGGGCAGGGCTGAGGTGTCGATCTCATTTGGGAACTGTCAGCCTGTAAGAAATGACTGGTTACAGCAATGAAGTTGGATGTGTATGCTGAGGGGTTAATAACTAAAACTACCAATCGATGGCAGTAAACCAACCTACTGGAAAAATGGCAAATGCCTGAATAGACATTTCTTCTTCTAAGAAGACAGAAAAAAATGGCCAATGATATTTGAAAAGATGTTCAGCATCACTAATTGTCAGGGAAATGCCAACCAAAATACTTGTGAGATTCACCTCATATCCTTCCTGTGTTAGTCAGTTTTCCATTTTGTGACCAAACACCTGAAATAAAAGCCTTGCACACCACACCGGAAGAGGGCACCAGATCTCATTATAGATACTTGTGAGCCCCATGTGGTTGCTGGGAATTGCACTCTGGAAGAGCAGCCAGTACTCTCAAACTCTGAGGCATCTCTCCAGGCCAAGAACCAAAGTTCTTCAATAGAAGCTATACCTTACATTGAACTGTCTAAACAGGCTCTTTAATAGAGCCTTAATGATTGCGGAGGTTGGGATGTTGCAAGTTTGAAGTCTGACTACATTTATTTCACGGTAGTTTTGGCCTCCTTAATGCTCTTCCCTTGCCCAGCTCTCTGATTGAATGTGCTTCTTACTACCATGTGAGACCTTGGGAGTGCACCTAGTAGCACACTACTGGCTTCCACCCACCCGATGCTAAGACTGTTCTCCACTTTCCTGACCCTACCAGGTGAGGAACCTGCCTGACTCCACTTTGAAGGCTGGAGCCTTTGTGCTGTATTTTTAAAAATAGGTTTCTATTTATTGTGAGAGTTGAAGAGCTCTGTTTCCTGGAACGTGATCTTTACCAAACCATGACCTTGTTTTGTTTTTGAGAATATCCTGACCCTGACCCTCCCGACCTCTCTTAATCACTTAGTGGGTGATCACATGATTTTATTTTAAGTTTTTTTTTTCCCCTTAATGCTCCATTATTGTCTTCCATTTGTAAAACTACTAGTGATTTTACTCCTTAAAAGGGATCCAAGAAGTGAATTCAGGGTTGCTCTCTTTCACGTGACTTAGGAGGCAATTGCTGGCAGCTCTTGAGTGCATGCCAATTTAAAAATCAAACTTGCTTCAAATTTGTCTCCAGTTGAGGTAGTGGTCTTATTCTCGCCGTTGGGATTAACACTGGTGTTTCCACAGATTTTTTTTTTTTTTTTTTGATTTTTCGAGACAGGGTTTCTCCGTAGCTTTTGGTTCCTGTCCTGGAACTAGCTCTTGTAGACCAGGCTGGCCTCGAACTCACAGAGATCCGCCTGCCTCTGCCTCCCGAGTGCTGGGATTAAAGGCGTGCGCCACCACCGCCCGGCTACAGATATATTTTTTTAAAGATTTATGACTTTCTTGTTCTATTACTATAAAAACGTCACGAAACAGCTATCATGTTGGTGTAAGCCCTGGTCTCTGGCCTCCATCTTTGGAGGCCCCCGGCCCTACGCCCGGCCCTGTGCCCGCCAACTGCCAAGTCTTGACCCCTCCTCCTCAGAGGGTCAAGATAAACCCGCCAAAATCTTGACCACACCCTCAGTCTATTTAAACTGCTTCCCTGTAAAGTTTCCTCATGGTGTCGTGTCCCCCGTGTGCCCCGTGCCCCCCCCCATCAGATTCCAGGCCTCTGGGTTCCCCCTGCGGGCCACCCGAGAGCATAGGAATCCCATTAAACTGGATAGTTCTTAATTTGGCTTTTATGATTTGGCTTGTGATTTTTACATCGGCAGAGAGCTCAAGTTAGGAAAAATTCCTAACAGTTAGAATATTGAACTTGGGGTAACTCAAATCTGTATTCCTGAGCCAGGCTCACCCATTTGGCTCTAAAATAAATTTGTGTCATCTTTGAGTAGGGATCTGTGTTTCTCATGTCTACATTTATTTTGTCTCATAGTTTGTTTGATATGGGGCCTCTTGTGAGGCCTGGCAACGTGGATGCTGGAAAGCAAAGGCTGAGACAGAACGTGGATGGGGTCCATACAGCCCCCTCAGTGGAACTGCCCCAGTGAGCCAACTTTTCTCTCCTAAGCCCACCATCCTTGAGAGATGGTAAAAGTGTCAATTAGTTCACTCTAGCCGCCTTCTTACTCCCTGTATGCATACCATAAAATTTTCATACGTACCTTAA